CAAGAAAAAGACAAATTCTTTGCTAATATACGGAAGTACTATTGGGAAGATTCCATTTTGTTTCATTACTACCCAGATCAAATAATAAGGAGAAGTGTTCTGGAAAGTGAGGTTTTGAGTGTTCTTGTATTTTGCCACACACTTACATGTGATGGGCATTTTAGTACAAAGAATACTGTCTTGAAGGTTCTTCAAAGTGGCCTCTTTTGGCCCACTATCCATCAGGATGCCTACAACTTTTGCAAGGAGTGTGTCAGGTGCCAAAAAATGGGATTAGTGTCAAAGAGAGATATGATGCCTTTAACTCCAGTTTTTGTTGTGGAAATTTTTTATGTTTGGGGCATAGATTTCATGGGACCATTCCCAATGTCTTATGGCTTCCAATATATCCTCCTTGCCATCGATAATATTTCTAAGTGGGTTGAGGCTTGTGCTACTAGAACAAATGACCATTTCGTGGTGGTTCAATTCATTAAATCAGATATCTTTACTCGTTTTGGAATGCCAAGGGCAATTATTAATGATAAGGAAAACATTTTTCCAATCAATTCTTGAAGCTACTCTTTTTGAAGTACTCCGTCACTCACAAGGTTGCCACTGCCTACCACCCTCAAACAAGTGGGCAAGTTGAGGTTTCATATCGGAAAATTAAGCAAATTCTTGAAAAAATGGTGAACACGACTCGGAAGGATTGCTTAAGAAAATTAAATGATGCTTTGTGGGCTTACCGGACGGCTTATAAGACTCCAATAAGCATGTCTACTTATAGACTTGTTTGTGGGAAGCCTTACCATCTTTCGGTTGAGCTAGAACATAAGGTTTTGTGGGCAGTAAAAAAACATAATCTTGATCTTGATAAGGCTGGTGAGAACCGTTTACTCCAATTGAATGAGTTAGTGGAGTTGAGATATAATGCCTATGACAATGTTAAACTCTACAAAGAAAGGACCAAAGCTTTTCATGATAAACACATTGTGAAGAAGTCCTTTGAGCCTGGGCAAGAAGCATGGTTCTTCAACTCTAGGCTTAAATTCTTTCTCGGGAAACTTCGCACTAAATGGGAAGGCCCTTGTGTGATTATCTCCATTTTTCCTTATGGGGCAATTGAAATAAAGAACTTGAAAGATGAGAATTTTTTTAAAAAGTGAATGGGCAAAGATTGAAGCCTTACATTGAAGGATAAGTTTTTCAAATAGATGTGGAAGTCGCCCTTTTGGTGGATCCCGTCTATCTTGATGATTGAGAGCATTTCAACGTCGACTAGAGACATTAAACCTAGTTTCATAGAGTTTTCAAACTCTACTCCTCCCCCATTTATTTTTACTTTTCATTGTTGCGTCACCTAGATAAGTTTCATGTTGCATCATTACATATTTCCAGGTGTTTAAGGCTATTGAACATCTTTGCCTTTGAAAGGATTTCAAAAACTCAGCATTTTATGCCCAGACAGCATGTTCTACGATCGATCACAGACTTCAGCGATCGATTGTAGAACCTTGGTGATCGATCACCGTTTGCAGAACCCACATTTTGCCTAAAAACAGGCTCTCGGTATCTATCCTTTGTGGAACTCCATGATCGATCGCTGACCCTGGCGATCGATCGCCCATGTGTGTCAAAACTTTTGGCTCGCAGAGAATCATTCATGAATCATCACGATCGATCGTCAAAATCATCAAAAATTTCCAACTTTCAGAGTATTAATCGTGAGTAGCCACGATTGATCACCAAATGTGACAAGTACTCAAATATTGCACATTTTAGAACCTAAGCTAGGGTATTTTAGTCCATTCATATATCTTACTTTCCCGTTTTAATTCTAATTCTTGTTTTTGTTTATTTCAGGACAATAAGGTTCAAATGGGCTAAAAACAGCCTATTAAGCCATTTTTAGAGTCATGAAGAAATTTCAGAAAAAGTTCAAAAAATTGCCCTGGAGCAATGGCGATCGATCACAGATTCAGCCATAATCAATCGCAGACATTGGCGATCCATTGCAGTGCCACATTAGCGCCAGCTAAGAGGATAAGGTTGCTAGTTGTCAAGATAAGCATGCCATGTCATCCACGATCGATCGCCGAGGTTGGTGATCCATTGAAAAGCCTTGGCGATTGATCGCCATTGTGTTGACAGTGAGCTGTTTAATTCCCGAGCTCACCCGAATTCTACTTACTAAAGGGGCTGCGAGATTAGACCAATTAGAATGCCATTTTCTGACTTGTTCACCACATAAAGGAGCTTGTATTTAAATAAAATTGAACCATGTTGTATAGGTTAGCTAGTTTTAGAATTAAATCAATCTTTAGACATAGTTTTTATCTCTAGAGATTAGGATTCTTGAGCAAGAAAAGAGACAAGAAAAGAGGAAAAAGATGGAGCTTAACTTGAAGATAACCCTTGAAGGTTGCATTTCTACATCCATGAGTGGATAAATCATCCTCTTGGAGCTTGGAAAAGCCCTAGGCTAGTCCTCTAAACCCTGGACCTTTGACATTTTTGGGGATTCTATATTATAATAAATGTTTTGACCTTGTGGATGTATAGAGTTTGACTTTGTCTATTATTTGTATGGATCAATTCTTTCTATTAATTCTCTAATTTATTTACATGTTTATGTGATTAAATTGAGAGTTATGTCTCTACACTAGTTTCTCTAGATTTGATGCATGTCTATGTGTGATTAAATTGAGCATCTAGTGATGGTTATGCATGGTTAATATTATTGGATACTCTTGTGAATTGATTTGATGGACTATGCTCATGCTTGATGGATTATTCTACACCCTTAGTTAATTAGTTTAATTTCCTTGTCTTAGTGTAATTGTAGTGTAATTGCATTTCAATTCCTAGATTAGGTAGATAATCCATGCTTGTGTTTGATAATCCATGCTTTTTGTTGCAAGATGTATATTTTTCTAGATTAATGTGTGCTACAATTATGGGTTTATTGAATTGTTTATGCTTTAACTTGATGAGTTGTACTACATTCTAGCTTAAGAAGAAAATTCATGCTTGTTTTTGTCACCCATGCTTATTGTTTCAATTGGTAGCACGCACACACACACACACACTTTGGTTATAACATTGAATTCCCCTAAATTGTTAAAGGCTAGATGTTTAGAGGAAGAGCTTAGTGGTGATTCCTATGCCCTAATACCTCTCTACTATTCTTTATACCCTACTATATTTAGATTGCTTTCTATTGCATTGTTAATTTAGTTAATCATAACCTAAGTAAACAAAACTAAACCACTCTTTTGATTATTCAACCTACTAATCCAACTTTTATTCCAAATACCCTTACAATCTCTTGGGACGATCCCTTCGTACTTCATACTATATAGTATAAGTGTTTAGTAATTTTATAAATTTCTAAATGTGGTGGCCACTTGATGCACTTCTAAATTGACAACATTTTGTGTAGTACCGAGATCGAGCACCATGTTTTTGGAACCAACATTCTAAATAAGCATTGAAAGAAAACTACCTTAAGTATGCCATTTTTCAACCATCTCTAAGCAATCTCCCAAAATTTCAACAAGCAAGCAAATATGGTCCTCCACACATCAAGCAAGATGATCACGAAAATTGAAACAACTCTAGCATCCTTTTTGAGTGAACCGGCATCAAATATGTTGCTATCTTAGCAAATCAATGAAATTGGCACAACCGATCTCAAGCTAGCACACAAATCTAGTATCAATCATCAAGACAAAGAATGGACCTCTTTATTTCAATTTATTTCCTATATGTTTTTTTTTTTTTAAAGGATCAAAGACAAGAGTATGGTGCAATGTAGTGATCTTTTAAGCTTTCTAGAAGATCCATTTAATGAGCATTAGGTCAATGACTCCCAAATCGGACGGCTTCAGGGCATTAGGTGTAAAGACACTCCTAAAGACTTATAAACTCAAATCAACTATGCTACAAATCAAAACAACTTTCATATAATCATTTCCTTATTTCTAGCTTTGGTGAGAAGCGCTCATTTTTCTTTGCTTTTGCTTTTCTTTTCTTTTCAATTTTTTTAAAAAAATATTATGTGGGCCTTTACTTTTCAATGCGAGAACTCAATGCTTAATGAGGCTAGAATCCCGGTTACTCGGTAAAATGTTTGTTATTATCATGCAAGGCCATCTTATCAAGAATGAGAGCTTTCAAAGCCTACTAACTTGAAGACACCAAAAATGATCTGGGCTTGGTACGATTCATATTTCTAAGAACGGGTCGGGTATGGATAACTAGGATGGAGCAAGTCCTCGCTGAATGGGCCCAGGTCCAGGAAGTCATTACGGAAGCCCATATTATGATGAAAGAAGTTGAGCCCAAACAAAAGGGATGAAGATGGGTTCGGCCAAGGAGTGGATATAACCGTCTAAGTGGTTGTAACCGTCTATAAATAGATGGAAATGAGAGGGAAAAGAGGTTAAAAAATTATTGGGAGTGTAAAGTTTCTCTCTCTACAATTGAGAAAAATTCTTTGTACTTTCAATTGGTGCCGTCTGTGGGAAGAACGAAGAAGATTGATTGGAGTTGGTCCAGATTGATTCGATTCAAAGCACTTTGCAAAGAAGATGCTTGATCTTTGAAAGCTGAATCAAGGTTAATGGAAATGCGATCTGTTTTGATGAATCTTGGTTTCAGTTGATTTCGAGAGGTTGGCGTCCGATCTACGCAGATCTGATCTGTGCTTGATCCGGCGAGCTGCGCAGTTGCGACTTGTTGAGATTGCTGAATTCGGCAAGCTTGTAGCTCGAGTAATTTGAATCCGGCCAGTAACGAACATAATTCAACAATTTTGAGACCATATCTAATGTGTGTGCATTAGCAAAGCTCCGATCTGGTCAAGAAATCAGCGATTAATGACTTTGCTCCGATCAGGAATGATGATCGGAGAGGAGAGCTCAAATCCTTTGGAGGATGGCCAGTAGACAAAGCTCGATAAGTTGATGAACATGATCGAAGCCTTGAGAAAAGAAAACGCAAAGTTGCACGCTGTAATGGAGCGTCGTGAGACTCCTACAATTCCGAGGCCACCTCCGGAAGGAGAGGGAGTCTTATCGTCCGATCCTGTTCGTCAAGGTGATCCAGAAGGTGTTAATCATGTAGATCCATTTCGTGATGAAGTTCTGGTAGACAATCTACCTCCAAATGTCCGTCAAGTAGAGGATCGAGAAGGATCTATTCATTTGGAGCCACATCGCAAACGGATCATGCGAGAGGAAGCGCCGGCGTGCGATCATAGGGTTGCATCACCGTGGCAAAGTGAGTTTGCGGAGGATAGATCTTTGATCCACCCTATCGACCTTCAATGGCAACATTTGACTATCACAGTTCAGAAAGGAAATCTGCCGATCAGGGAGTTCTGTCATGGTTTTCAAGGGAGAACGAAGCATTGCGCTCATCAACAAGGATGGTTGCATTTCCATTCACTGATGAAATTCTGAACGCGTCGAATTCAAAGAAGTTTTCTATGCCGATCTTCATTCTGTTTGATAAAACAACTGACCTGGTCGACTACATCTACCACATTCAGTTGAAAATGGGTTTGAATACTAACAATAATCCTTTGATGTGCAAGTGCTTCCTTACAAGTTTGGCTGGACCAGCCCTCAATTGGTTTAAGAATCTGGCTCAAGGCTCAATCGCTAGTTTCCAGGATTTGTGTGACAAGTTCATAAGCCAGTACTATGGGAATAAACGCCCGGCTAAGGATGTATCAAGCCTTTTCACAATGAAGCAGCACGAAGATGAACGACTCCAAGCTTTCCTCACCCGGTTCAACCTTGTTAAAAGCATGGTAATAGAATGTCATCCATCCACAACGGTCCAAACATTTAAACTTGCAATGAACCGAGGGACACCGTTCCACACAAGCTTGGTGGTCAATACACTGAAGATCATGGACAAGCTGAACAAGAGAGCTGACGGTTTTGTCCGCCTTGAAGAAGAAGAGGCAGCTAATTAAAGGAAGACGTCAATTATTTCGACAAAGGAGAAGTCCAACGCCAAGATCCGGTAAAAACAAGCTCAGCCGCAATGTCAGACCTCCTGGAAGGCAGAGAAAAGGACCAGGGAGGAGGATTTGGTTACTCCACTAAGACAAAGATAAGTTTCACCCTCCTTTACCAATCTGACAACCTCTTAAACAGAGGGATCAGACTAAACATTGTGCTTTCCATAGTGATTTTGGACATCAGACTAATGAATACAGGAACCTAAGGAGACAAGTGGAGATGCTGATCGCAAAGGGGGAATTTACAGGATATGTTCAAGGTCCAGTGCAAGAGCAGAACCGATCGGCTGAACAGATCAAGAGAAATCAGAGGCTGAACCACCATAGCACTCAGCCTGTTCGGATTATAAATGTAATTCATAGCCGACCTGAACAGACAACGGGGTCAGAAGAGTTGCTTAGAACGCGATTACGCCAGGCCTAGTTGAAGAGAAAGATTGGCAGTGTACATACTTTGCATCAGTAGAACGCGTCAGCACAGATAAAGTTTGATAGAACAGACCTGCTACGCATTCAGGTTCCTCATGAAGATCCACTGGTCATCAGTCTAACAGTTGCAGAATGCCTGGTACGAAGAGTTCTAATTGATCCAGGAAGCAGTGCAAACGTCATGCCCAGAGTAACGTTCGATCGAACCCGAGAAACTTAAACCCACAGGAAATCCGTTGTTAGGATTTGATAAGAAGCGGGTGAAGCCCATTGGAATGGTGGAATTGATAGTACAAGCTGCTGAGAGAGTTTTGACTGAGAGTTTTATGGTCATAGAAATTCATCCATCCTACAACCTCTTGATGGGAAGAGGGTGGATTCACAGAGTTCAGGGTGTCCCATCAACCCTACATCAAGTGATGCGATGCTTGGGTCCAAATGGGACCAAGGTGATTGACATTCATGGGGACTAGGTTGCAGCTAAAGAATGTTATTCAGTGACTTTAAAATCTGCTGGAGAGGGGAAAAATCCCATCTGTTATTGTGATACCCCCGGATTTTCGGATGCGGGTTGCCAGGCCCACGCCCGATTGCTCGAGGATATCAAATCAATTAGCAGTTAACGAACACAGAATACAATTTAGAAAACAGGAATAAATAAATTACCGAAAAGAAACTAGAATAATAATCCAAAAACCTCAGAATAAAATTTTACTAATAAAGAATTATTCTGATACATCCAACTTCTCCATTTCTATTACAACTCGGGAATCCATCTAGTGGACCCCTAAAATATTTCATTGAACTCAAAAGATTGGAAATGAAACCTAAGTCTAAAACATGAAATAAAATCCTGGTCATCGGTGGAGTGAATGACTGTATTTGCTCAGCACGATTCAGCTCTAAGTCTGGAACTAACGAACACTTGTAAAAATAAGAGTGGGTCAGGCCCACATGCAAATTCTTCTCTAACTGCAATCCAAACCTTGACCCGATACGCAGATACACCCTAGACATCTCAACAATATCTATATAGTCCATAATAGATAAAAATATATCCACACTACAGGACTCTCACTAAACTATGCTGAGGGTCTCAACCTGAATAGAAGGCAACATGCAATATGCACCTGAGTGGGCATGACTACCTAAGCTTAACAGGGTATACCTCAACCAACATAGCTAGCTACGCTTCCTACTGCATATACGCACCCTAACCAACGAGTCTGAGACTCAAGCTCATCTCGTGGTACTATAAAAATATATGTAAAATCCATTCATATCCATCCATAGAAAATCCAAGAAGTCGTTCAGCTTATTCAGCTGCACAGACTTAAATAAGAGATCCAATAAGTCGTTCAGCTTATTCAACTGCACAGACTTAAATATAAGGAGAATTATGTTTTTATAATTCGTACCCTTAATCCAAAATAGGTAGAACTGAGTTATTTTGAATCAGTCTGTCCCTAGTATGCCACCTTCCCATACCGGTGCATACAATCCACAAAATCCATATAATTGATTGAACAGATAAAACTGTTCACCAATTAAAATCCGTAAGGTAGGAATTAGCGTTTTGAGCTAAACCATACCTAGTATGTCACCGTCCTATACCGGTGCATACAAGCCTCCATATCCATGTAAATTACAATATATAAATAATAAGCAAGTAATTTACAATCCAAAACCAAATATCCCTATCATTGCAGAATAGTTTATACAATGCTACAACAATTACAGTTCAACACCATAATTCAATTAATTGTAGAATAATATATAAGATTCCACAATTAACATCCAACGCATGTAAATCACAACACATAATTAACAGTTTAGCAGTTTACAATCCAAAACCATCCCAAATAATTGCAGGAGACTATTTACAGTTTCAGCAATTTAAATCCAAGAGTTAAACCATGTATTTGCAGGAAACGGTTTAAAGGTTCAACAACTAGCATCCAAAGCATGCGTAGATTACATCTAATATATCAATGACTCTATCATGCATTAAAAATAAGTTTTATAATCATATTATAGTCCAGTAAATTGCTAAATTAATTTAAGCAATTTAATCCGTCTTCCATCCGTTAACAGCATAGAAAGTTTACTAAATTTTACACTTTTTGTCCCATTGATTTAAAAATCAACTTAAATCAATTCAAGGTCTTCATCACACCCAAAACTAACTATTTAATCCCTCTGTGAAGTCCCATTAAATTTCTAAAATTTAATCAAGCCATTCAGTTCCTTTCTTCTGTTAATAGCATGCACCGTTGTATATTTTTACACTGCTTCATCCTTAATCATAGAGACCTAAACCACGCAACAAAAGGTTTAATATTACTTAGAGTTAACCCCTTAAACCCTCTGTGAAGTCCCCATAACCCATTGGAACCATTCAAAAGCCCAAACAGTGCTCACACTATCAAACAGTCGTAGAAAAACAATTCAGCAAAACACTATTCAAAAGAGCCTGCTCTAAAAATTAAAGAGCAGGCTCAATAAAGCCTGGAGCCGGCTCTAAACATCTTAGAGCTGGCTCAATGAGTGTGGGAGCCGTATCCCACATCCATGGAGCCGGCTCTCACCCCCTTTGAGAGTCTCCGACCCCGTTTCGCTCCGTTTCAGTCCGTCTTCTTCATCTCCGGCCTATTCCTGTCACTCTGTAGGATTTTAAATCTGAACTTAGGAGTCTAATTAACACCCAGTAGCATCCCATTAGTTCATTACAATCATTGAAATCAATTACAGGAATTTAAATTTGAACTAAATTTTCTACTGAACCGAAACATGCTTAAGGAACTAAACTGAAATTAATTTACAACCACGGTTCCATTCCAACCCCTCTGTTCTTCCTCTAATATAAATGTTTAAAGGTTTTAAATCTCATCTAGTATTAAATTAGACCTTCGTTTATTGCAGTCAAACTCAATACCATGTTAAAACAGTGACGACCTTTTTACTCTAAAAACAGAGACGATGCAACCATACATGATACAATTTTTACAGATAAATTTCACGGATAACAGATAACCAACTTAACATATAATAGTCATGCATGGTTAAATTAATGTCCAATTAATCCCTAGAGATTATCTAGGTGCATAGAACATAAGCCAAAGGGAAGGAGAAAGAGAAGAACTTGCCTGTAGTTTTGGTCTCAAAACTGTGTTGTCGTCTTCCTAATTTCCGGCAACCACTGACCATCTTCAAGCCTCCTATGGTTTTGGTTTAAGCCACCACAACTCTCCCTTGGCCCTCTCTATTCTCCTCCTAAGTTTTGTTCTATTTTCTCTCGCTCAGTTCTCTCAAAACTCTCTGTATTTTCACTGTGCCGTGAATAGGGTTATCAAACCCTAGGGACATATAAGTTATATATTTATAACTAATTCCCACTCTAAAGTCCATAAAAACCCTAAACTTAAAACCCAATTAATTATGTCGGCAAGCCCATAAAAATACTAAAACCCTAAAAGATAATTCATACACTTAATCTAATTAAACAGTTACGTCCATGCAAGAAAATAATTAACCAAATAAGGAAATACAAATACACAATTAACAATTTACAAATAATTAAATAAAACAAACAAAATACAACAATTACAAAATCAATAGACAAAAATGCACTTAGAATGAAATTTAAATCCCAATTTTATCCTTTTTAATTTTAGGGGTATTACAGTTCTGCCAGTCCAAGATAGTAATTACAGGAACCTCTACCCAGCAAAAGTAGGGAGGAGGAGCCGCTAGTTTTGACCGAAGAACCACTTCTTGATGTGTAGATAGACCATAAGAAGCCGGACCAAACAACGAGGGTGGGATCCAGACTTACTTTGGAGGAAAAACTAGGATTAATTGACTTCTTGACTCAGAATGCAGATGTATTCGCATAGAGCCATTCAGATATGCTAGGGATCAGTCCTTCTATGTCTTGTCATTCCCTTAATGTAGATCCAAGCACAAAACTTGTGAAGCAGAAGCAGAGAAGATTTGCTCCAGAACGCAATTGAATCATAGCTGAGGAGATTGATGGTTGCTCGAGGCAGGATTCATTAGAGAGGTTCGGTACCCGGCCTGGTTTTCCAATGTAGTTGTTATGCAGAAAAAGAATAGGAAATGGAGAGTATGTATTGACTTCACTAATCTGAACAAAGCTTGCCCAAAAGATAGTTTCCCATTGCTACGGATTGGTCAGATGGTGGATGCCACCACTGGGTACGAGCGACTAACCTTCCTGGATGCTTATTCTGGTTATAATCAAATCCCCATGGAGCTAATTGATGAAGATAAAGCATCTTTTGTTACTGAACGAGGGACCTATTGCTACAAAGTCATGCCGTTCGGATTAAAGAATGCTGGAGCTACTTATCAGAGGCTGATCAACAAGATTTTCAAAAGCCAAATGGGGGGAACTGTAGAGGCTTACATTGATGATATGGTGGTCAAGAGTAAGAAGAAGGATAATCACTTAGAGCACTTACAGGATGTGTTCGATGTGTTGAGGAAGTACAGAATAAAGCTTAATCCGACCAAATACTCATTTGGCGTGAGCTCTGGTCAATTTTTGGGATATATGGTCAATCATAGAGGAATTGAGGCTAGCCCAGCCCAGGTGGAAGCTCTGATCAGAAATGCAGAACCAAAGACAATTAAGGAAGTGCAGGTATTCACAGGTCAAATAGCTGCACTGAGCTGATTCATTTATAAGCTCTTAGACCGGTGTAAACCATTTTTTGACACAATTCGAAGCCATGGGAGGTAATCCTGGGGGGATGAACAACGACAAACATTAATCAGCCTGAAAGATTACATGCGAAACCCTCCGGTTCTATCTGCTCCCGACCAAATGAGAAGCTCTTTTTGTACCTTGGGGTATCCAGCATCGCTACAAGTGCTGTTCTAATCCGTTGCAAAGACGGAAAGCAATTCCCAGTGTTTTATGTCAGTAAAACAATGGTCGAGTTGGAAAAAAGGTACTCAAAGGTTGAACGGGTGATCTTGTTGTTGGTCAACGCGAAAAGGAAGCTCAAGCATTACTTCGAATCCCATCCAATTGTCGTCTTAACTACTTTTCCTATAAGGATGATCTTGCACAAACCAGACCTATCAGGAAGAATGACAAAATGGGCCATTGAGTTAAGCTCATTTGATATTACATATGAACCTAGAACGGCAATCAAAGGTTAAGTGGTGGCTGATTTCCTACTTGAATATGATGTTGAAGACTTAGAGGAAGATTATAGTTGTTCCTTATAGAAGCTCTTTGTAGATGGCTCTTCAAATCAAATGGGGGCAGGAATTGGAATCAAATTGCATACACCAGAAGGCACCACGCTGAGCCAAGCAATCAGACTTGAGTTCAACGCAACCAACAACGAGGCTGAATATGAGGCATTATTAGCAGGGTTGAAGTTGGCTAAAGAGCTGAAGATCAAGAACCTAATTGCTTATAGCGACTCACAGCTAATCGTTCGGTAAGTAACTGGAGAATTTGGAACCAAAGATAAGATCATGGAAGCATACCGAACCGCGGTTTTACGTGAGGCGAAAGATTTCAATCAGATCAGGTTCATTCAGTTGCTGAGGGAGTGTAATAAAGATGCCAATCGTTTGGCCTATAGTGCATCCAGTTCTGGAGAAATACTGGCTAGGGTCATCCCGGTTGACGTGTTGATTCAGCCGTCCATTTTTGATGAGCAGCCCGATTCGAGCGCTCAGCAAGTTAATGTTATACCATACGAGCCGAGCTGGATTGATCCGATCATGGCTTTCGTACGTGATGGTGTGCTACCTGAACAGAAAGATTTAGCAAGAAAAATCAAGTCCAACGCCATAAAATATGCTATTGTGCGTGATCAATTGTATAGGTGGTCCTTCTCAGGTCCATACTTAAAGTGTGTTACCCCAACAAAAGTTAGACATATAATACAAACCATTCATGAAGGTGTATTTGGAAATCATTCAGGAGGAAGATCTTTGGCACACAAAGCAATACGACACAAGGGTACTTTTGGCCAAATATGGCACGAGATGTAGAAGAATTCTCTAGAAGATGCGATAAATGCCAAAGGTTCGGACCATTGATACACTAACCACCTGAAGACTTGCACGTAATGGCCACGCCATGGCCTTTCGCGCAGTGGGGGATGGACATGGTGGCCCTCTGTCGACCGCAAGATCGCAGAACAAGTACGTTCTGCTAGCAACTGATTACTTCACCAAATGGGTGGAGGCAGAGCCGTACACTAGTGTCACCCAAACTCAAGTAAGATGCTTCATCTGGAATAATATTATCTATCATTTTGACATACTAAGGTTGATCGTTATGGACAATGGAACCAATCTCGATAGCAAGAAAGTGAAGGAGCTGCTGGAAGAATATGGAATTAATCAAAAGTTGGCAGCAGTCACTTATCCCCAGGCTAATGGTCAAGCTGAGATCACGAACAAGACAATATTTGCCTATATCAAGCAGAAGCTCAAAAATGTAAAAAAAAATAGTTAGATGAGCTTCCGAACGTCTTGTGGGCTTACAGTTAAACCCCAAGACGGCCGACCGGGGAGAGCCCATTCGCTATAGCGTACGGCACTGAGGCAGTGATACCAGTCGAACACTTAGTTCCAACCGTTAGAAGCTTGGTGTGGAATCAAGAGCAGAATGATAGAATGCTAAGGTTTAATCTTGATCTGCTGGAGGAGAAAAGGGATGCAGCGGCAATAAGGCTTGCTTCTTATCAACAAACGCTCATAAATAGCGATAACAAGAGGGTGAAGCATAGAGACTTCGCCCTTGGCGATCTGGTTCTGAAAAGGAAGGTGGGGATAGTCAAAAAGATGTTTTCGCCATGGGAAGGTCCATACAGAATTGCAGAAGTCATAGGAAAGGGGCCATACATCCTGGAGACCATGGCAGGAAGGTTGGTCAGTAAACCATGGAATGCCACGTCTCTGAAAAGGTACTACATGTAGAAATAGAGTTTAATTCCAAGCAATATGCTCGTTTTGAATTCCATACTTGCAAGTGTACGAAATTTTCAAGTTTTATGAAAGATATTTACTTTGCTTAAAAATTAATTAACTTTCTTCCCCCTTAGCAAAGTCAGTGGCAACTGGCACTATGAGCCAAACGCCAAACACTTGTATAGAATAATGCCGAGTGGCAAGTGGCATTCTAGCCGAGCGCCAGGCACTTAGCAAAGTCAGTGGCAACTGGCACTACGAGCCAAATGCCAAACACTTACACAAAATAATGCCAAGTGGCAAGTGGCATTCTAGCCGAGTGCTAGACACTTAGCAAAGTCAGTGGCAACTGGCACTACGAACCGAATACCAAAAACTTGCACAAAGTAATGCCAAGTGGCAAGTGGAATTCTAGCCGAGCGCCAGACATTCAACAAAGTCAGTGGCAGCTGGTATTACAAGCCGAATGCCAAACACTTGCTTAAAAATGAATCAATGCCGAGTGCAAGTGGCATTCTAGCCAAACTCTAGGCACTTAACAATGTCAGTGGCGGCTGGCGCTATAAGCCGAATGCCAAACGCTTATGAAAAATAAAGTTTAAAAGAATGAAAATTGAAACTTGAAGAATGGAAGTTTTGCTGAAAATAAGTATTGTCATTCCCTATTCCTTTATTACAAAACAATCCTGAAGTACATGGCTTGATGTTCTGAGGATACATGACGATACATTTAAAAAAAAAAAAAAAAAAACTGATGCAAAGGATTGCGGAATGCTAGTTTTCACGGTTTTCTCCAGGCTGTGACTCGTTGTTCTCCCCATCATTACCCTTTGGCCCATTGTGATCCTCTCCATTCTTAGCTGCATCGTCATCCTTGGAGGGAGAATCCAGATGAATCACCCCCTCAGCTAGCATGAGTCTGTCAGAGGCAACTAAAGTGGAGGGCATGATAGTAGTAATTAGAGGAATGTTCAAAGGATGGAAGGGCAGAACAACCCCTGAGGCTGCAACCTCTCTGCATTCGAGAAAGATATTCTCAGCAGGGTCGCAGGGTGGATTTTGGTAGTTGCTTGGCGGATGGATGTCCAAAGAGGCGTCCAACTCATCTGGACCAACACAAGAACTAGATTCACCTTCAGGAGAGAACGGTCGATAAAGTCGTCTCTATACCGTTCAGCATACCTAAGGGCACTGGTTCTGGTGAAGTGGGCAAGGATAGCTCTTATGCCCCCTCAACTTTGCCAATCATATTCAGCAAAGAAAAGCATTCACTTAAAAGCTTTTCCTTTAAGTTGGCAAGAGACAACCGGTCAGCAATAAGTGAACGATGAAGGTCTCCCTTCTCAGCCTTCAGTGAGTCCCTTTCAGTTAGTGCGACGTTTTTCTCAGTCTTCAGAACATCAACTTCATCCTGAAGAGAGTCCCGTTCAGCCTTAAGGGTCTCCTGTTCAGCTACTAGAGCATCCCTCTCATTTGCCAGAACGTCTTTCTCTGTTTTTAAGGCGGCAACTTCTCTCTCTGACTCATTCAGCTTAGACTCAAGCTCAGCGACTTTGGCTTCAAGACGGCTTTCCGCTTCAACAGATCTTTTAAGGCCTACAGAGAGAGACTTGAGCTTCTTGTTCAGAACCTCAATGGTCTTCTGAAAGGTGAACATCCCAAATAGAGTCTGCACAGAGGAAGGGAGGTTCTGGTTAGTTCAGTCACTAAAAAGTTAAAGTAGAAAAGAGACATATCTCAATAAGAAGAAAATTTACCTCCGTGGCAGCTGCTGGGAACCGCCGAAACATCTCACCAAAGGACAACTTGTTCTGGATTTCAAGATCCTTGGGAGTCCAGAAACCTTTATAGAAAGTAAAAGAAGTGAGGGGGTCCTGGTACATATAATCTGTAGGGCCAATAGTCGAGCCATCTTCACGGCTGAGCAAAGGGCGCCATGGAAGAATAGATGATGTTGGACCAGAGGTTCTGCCAGATTCACCCTCTGGAATGAAAAACTGAGCTGGGGGTATGGGTTCAGTAATTCTGAAAGAAGCCATCCTGGTTCCCCGTGCTGGTGGGACGTCACTCTAGTCATGACCGCCTTTGGTCTCTTTCCCAAGCTTTTCTCTGACATACCAGCTCTAACTGGCTCTCTATTGTTCTGAGAACCCCCAGCATCCTGAGTGCTCTATGAAGAAGTGTCAGACAGAATGTTTGACAGAATGTCATGACCGCCTTTGGTCTCTTTCCCAAGCTTTTCTCTGACATACCAGCTCTAACATTGGTGGGAACAGTAGGATGGGCCTCAGCAAAATGATCCATAGCACGGTTCTCAACATGGGTGGGCTCAGAAGGCCCATCAGCAGAATGATCTGTGACTTGAGTCACAACTGGAGAAGTCACAACCTGTTCTGGGGCTGAGACAGCAGATGTGGATGATGTGGTAGCAGATGTAGGGAAGATATGGTAACAGGAGCAGTAGAAGGGATGGGAACAGAATGCCTCCTCCTATTGAAAGATGGAATCTGAATGCTCTCCATTGTAGACCCTAGGAGAAAGATGTCAGAGAGGTTGTCAGGAGTAAGCAAGTCTGTAGCTGAAAGGAAATTGTTCAGTACACTCTCTTGTAAGATGTCTGGCCTGGCCCTGCAAACGCTATAAACCAGTTTATCATGAGGAATTTGAAGGCATCTACAAAGAAAAGTACAAAAATGGGGAAGACAACTTTCACAGTGGCATTCAATGGGATGTGTTTTCAGTTTTTTGTAACCAGAGACAGAGCATACTCCAAAGGGGGAAGGGATAGAGAAAGATTGGCCGAATGGAATCCGTCAATTCCCACTGACCCCAATCAAGTTTTGTCTCTAACCTTTTTTAAACGAGTTCTTATCTGTGCAGATTGACCGTTTGTTAATAGGAAAGAAATGATAGTACAGATCACTTTGATTGATTTTGTTAATTCGGTAGCAGAGGAGGAGATCAATGATATCAAGATTGAGACCCTTGTCACGATTCAAGAGCAGAAGGACTGAAATAACACTAAGGAAGTTAGAGTTAACTTACAGTGGACAAAGCCCTAATTTGCTGAAGACGTAGCAAAAGAATGGGTGTAAGGGGAACCTAATGATGTTTAAATGGACAACAGAGAATAAAATCTCCCCAGGAAGGAAACCCTCACCAGAGCTCCCATTTAAGTTTGTAGAGTAAATCCTGAGAGAAACGTCATTGGGAATGCTATTTTTGAAATGAATGGCATTCAGATTCGAGGGAGCTATTGAGAAGGTTTTTCTTTCAAAAAGGAGAGTAAAAAAAAAACTAACTTTTAGGACTAAGTTTGTGAAGTACTCAGCAATAGCACAGTAGCCAAATCAAGAAGGAAAAACTCGCCGGAGAAACTGAAGAAAGCTCGCCGAAAAGTGCAGGAAGATGACATACGAGACTCAGGAAGACGACAACGGATAGTGAAAGTAAGATACGATAAATGAAGACAAGGGTTGAGAGGACCAGGGTTTTTGATGAGCGCTGAAAAGTGCGTA